CCCAGCATACTACAGGAGGTGCCACCCCACCAGCCAAACCCCGACCCACTTGTGGTGCGTCACCACCAGCAGGAGGAAGAAGGTCAACACCGCCTGAGCCTCCGCTTTGTAGAGGGACTCTGCACGGTTGGAGGGAGGGGTGTGAACCTGGTCTGAGGATCGATGCAGCGTGGAGGGGGGGAGGAGCCTCGCGGCCGCCCAGAACCAGCCGCTCACCTTTGAACTTGGTCTTCGTCTCCTCCAGTTCCTTGGGTCGGTCGTCGCTCTTCTTGTAGGCCGGCACTTTCAGCGCCCAGCAGGCCACAGTCTGCCAGGTAGGATTGCCGTGTAATGTTGTGCTGCAATCATGGGACCCACCCAACGACAGTCTGAGAGGGGTTCCCCTCCTCCAGCCCAGCACCCTACCTCGTGCACGGTGCGGTCCATGATGGCGCGCACGATGGGAAAGCACAGGGCCAAGCACGCTGCGAGCACATAGTCCGCGGAGCCCCCCTTCAAGAAGGGGGTGTCGGCGAAGACGGTCGCCAAAACCCTCTCGAACCAGCCCCCATCAGCCATGGGTGCTGCAGAGACCTGGAGTGCTCGAGAGTGGAAGCCTTGAGGGGGGCAACGGATCGTCAGGACATCCGTTGTGTCCTCACACACCCCACGACACCCTCTTGTCGAGGATTCAAAGCGCGCCCAGGGCTCCGATCTGGGACTGGGGCCCAGCATGCGCCGCACGCGGTCATGCGTGCAGTTCAATGCAGTCCAACCTGTTGCCCCCGAAGCACCCCCATGTGCGTGTATTCCGGGAGTCCCCACCCTCCACGATGCATTCCACCACCACTTAATGTTCTACTGAACTGCTTTGAGACCACAGCGCCCGCATCACCGCCCTCCTCAGCCTCCGCCAACACCTCCTCGAGCACTGCTCCAAGGCCACCCCACCTCGGGGCGCGCAGGCACCATGCGCCGCTACGGGGCGCTCGCCCTCCTCCTCGCCCTGTGCACTACATGCAGTAAGGTCCAGGCCGACGCCGACTTCTCAGGTATGCGGGGAAGGGTGCGGGACTCAACCGCCCGGCAACTGCCTGTGGGCCCGGTTCCCGAGCCCCGTCCGCCCTCGCTCCCCCCTCCGCACGCAGAGCTGTCACAGACCCTGGAGGAGTTCCTGACCTCCGGCAACTCCTTCAGGAACATCACCAACCTGGCGTCCCTCCTCGGCTCCTCCGCCGCCACCGCCGCGCCCAGCGGATCGTCCTCGGCCATCGTCCCCGCGAACAGCACTACCATGAGCGGCAGCGACGCCACCGCCGGCCTCTTCTCCTCCTTCCTGGGCTCCTCCGGCGGCTCCCCTGGTGGCTCCCCCTCCGGCCTCTTCTCCTCCTTCCTGGGCCCATCGGCATCTGCCTCCGCCTCCTCCCCCTTCTCCTCCCTCCTGGGCACCACCAATGCCTCCTCCGCCCTCACGACCTACCTGCAGGGCCTGAACTCGGGCACGGTCCTGAAGAACCTGGCCAAGGTGGCCACGGTGTCCAGCATCGTGAAGAAGACCGACTTCTGGGAGGACCTGAAGGACACCATGTACGGGGCGGAGTCGCTGTTCACCTCCCTGTCCCTGTCACACACCCACAACCTGCTGGCCCTCGCCTCCGACTTCATGAACGGCACGGCGGAGGTGGCGCGGGACGCCTGGCACGGGGTCAAGGCCCTGGAGAAGGAGCTGTGCACCGACGGCTTTGCCATCGAGAAGGCGGAGCTGCCCACCGCCTGCGTGGGCTACAACCTGACCCTGGCCATCGGGGGCGGGTTCTGCATCTTCCAGGAGGACAAGTCCATCCGCTGCCGGAAGCCCACCATCCGGCTGGTGAAGACGCCCAGCGAGTGCTTCCTCAAGCACCACCAGGCCACCATCATCAAGTCCAAGGAGTGCAAGGTGGTCAAGACCTGGGGCAAGACCAAGCAGGGCTTCCTCAAGCCGGAGGAGGGGCCCAAGACCTACAACCTCACCAAGGCGAGCCACGGTGGTGGTGTTTCCGGGGGCGGGGGACGTTCGGGGACCCCGGGGCCAGGCCAACACCTCACATCATAATGGGAATCGTGGACCAAGCCCACCGTCCAGATTCCCAGCTGGCACTCAACCCCCCACCCCCACCAACCCACACACCGATCCCTTCAGACCCTGGATGACTCGGGCGTGCTGGACGCTGTGGCGCCCATGTGGGACGGCGTCTTCTCCACCCTCACCTCCCGGCTGGCGAAGCAGTACAACATGGTACAAGACAGCATCACCTCGGCGACAGACAACCTGCAGGCCTGGATCAGGCGCAAGGTTGCGGTGCGCATCTTCAGCTGAACTCCCTGACGCCGCGCCCTGCCGGCCTGCTGCGGGCACACTGGGAGGTGGCGGCCGGTCGCCGCATTCCCTCTGGGAACCCCCGCACCTCGCCAGCGGCTGCCTACCGAGGGTGATGCAGACAGCACCATCCCCTTTCCCGTTCATTTCATTTGCATTGATGCATGTTTCGGAGCCCCCCTGCACCACCCAGCCCTTGCTCGGTTGTGTGCAGGTGGGGCTCGTCTCGTGACGCACTGTAACATCACCCTGAGCCCCCCGGTGGCGTCCTGAGGGGAGACCGGGGAAACCTGACTCCCATGATGGGGCGACCAAGGAGGATGAGAAAATCTTCATCCTCCTTTCTCGACAAAACTTCCTGGCCAAGACACACCCCCTCCTTCCTCGCAACAGATTACAGGATGACTCGCGCACGTGTGTGTGTCTCCAAGCAACTGAATCGACCCGCTGGCCCCCGCTCAGATGGCCGCAAAGTACTCCTTGCTCTTGGTGGGGTTCATGGTCTTCTCGCCCGGCTTCCAGCCGGCGGGGCAGACCTCGTCGGGGTTGTCCTGGACGTACTGCAGGGCCTGCAGCACACGCAGTGCCTCGTCCACATTCCGGCCAAAGGCCAGGTTGTTGATGGTGGAGTGCTGGATGATGCCCTCCCGGTCGATGATGAAGAGGCCGCGCAGGGCCACGCCGTCGGCGGACAGCACGCCAAACTTGGTGGAGATCTCACGCTTGAGGTCGGAGACCAGGGGGTACTTGAGGTCGCCCACGCCGCCCTCCTTGCGCTCTGTTGGATTGGCGGTAGTGGGGAGGAAGGTAGGAATGGGGTTGGGCATCGAAGTCCGTGCTCGTCGCTCCTCATCCCTGGGCGCCGGTATCCAGCAGGCAAGCCATGCAGCGGGTGGCAGAGCCCCCGGCGCATGCTCAACACTGTCAATCGCAACAAAACCACGGCGCACCCGTCTGGATCCAGGCCAGGTGGGAGAACTGGGAGTCCACAGACACACCCAGGATCTAAAGAAGCGAGGGATTTAAGGGGGTCAGTGGGTCGGTAGGATGACGCCGGGCAAGCAGGACTGAGGGCAGTGGGAAGGAGTCAGTCCACTCGATGACACTGATTCAGGGTTGAGAGGTACATTGACTTGAAGTGACAGCACACTTGCCCAGCTGTAACAGGCCATGGGAAAGTGTGGTGGCCCAACAAAAACAACCCCATGGCCCCCACGGGAGTCCCCACCACATCAACAACCCCCCACCTCGGTATTCAGGTCGGCAAACTCCTGGTGGCGGTCGGAGAAGGCGGTGATCTCGGTGGGGCAGACAAAGGTGAAGTCGAGGGGGTAGAAGAAGAGGACCACGTACTTGCCCTTGTACTGGCTCAGCGTGATGTCCGTGAACTCCTGGTCAAAGACGGCAGTGGCCTCGAACTCGGGGGCGGGATTGCCCACCAGCGGCCCAGGGTTGTTCAGGGTGTGAATCTGGATGGGGAGGGGGAGGGAAGGGCGCGGGGTGGAGGTGTGTGTGATGCCAGGATGGACTATTACATGGGTTTGGGGATGCGAAGGGTTCTGCATGTCACAGATGGCTGCATCAAGGCGCAGGACTGACAGGGCCTGCTCCAACACTCCCTGCCCCGACTCTGGCGCCCACCTCAGCGCGGCACCTCAGGCTGGGTGCGCGACGAGATGAGATTGGGAGCTTGGCACCCATCCCCCTGGCCTGTGGACCGGTGGCCCGGCATGTGCTGCAGACTGTGGGGCCGGCACGGGGGAGGGACCTGGTGGCCCCCGCCCCGCCGGGCGCGGCGCTGACGGCAGACAGGGCAGCGATCATGGCTGAATCGGAGTGAGACGGTGTGTTTGTGTCATGGATGCATCGGGGTGGCATGAATTCAAGGCCGGGTGGGAGCTTCGGGGTGGAGGAATTATCTGCCCACGTGGGTCTACCTCTATCTGTTTTGGAGGGGCGACGGGCCTGGGAGGGCCGACGTCTCTGCCCACCGGCCCCAATGCTTTTCAACCTGTCGGGAGCATCCATATACCTTACATCAAGTCACTATGTGTAGGCACAGTGCAGGCTATGAGCCAGCGGCGCATATTTAGGTTCTCATCGGGTGCGCTGGCGGCAAGGGCTGACAAAGGTGGAGCGGGGCGGCTCGAGTCCGACCTTCTGAGCGCAGGGATGCGATTTGTAGTACCAAGTATCTGAGCGGGGCACACAGGCCGTCTGAGGCCGCCACAGGGGCAAGGGGGGACCAGAGAGTGGGCAGCAGGCGCCCGGGAAGTGCTAGGAATGGGGGATTCACGGCGGCCCTGACCCCGCCGCACTCACACGCTGGCGGTCTCCGGGGCCGCCTGGCAGAAGAGGCGCATGAGCGGCGTGCGCGAGACGGGGCACTCCGCGCTGCCGAACCAGGATTGCGTCGCCGGCGCGTCGGTCTGCCCCCAGGCCCCCCGGAACCAGAGCCAGGGACAGGGCTGGTCGGTGGTCACGAGGGCCGAGGCCTCGCGCGCCGGCACGCCGCGTGGGGTGGCCGGCGCCGGCTCCGGCAGCGTGCTGCCCCGGCTGGGGCAGACCTGGAGGCGCCAGGTGGCGGGCTCCGGGGCGTGGGGCCCCTCCAGGGGACGCGACGGCTCCGGATCCCGGCTGTAGGGCAGCAGGACCACGCGCTCCGGGTCCCAAACCAGGCCGGCGTCGGAGGTGTGGTCGTTGCCCAGGCCGAAGAGGCGGGGGATGGTGCCCACCTGTGTGTGTGTACGGCAGGGTGCAGGGCCTCGTGTTGCTGGGCTGGAGGGCGGGGTGACCAGGAGGGTTTGGGGGGCGGAACGGTCTGGGCAGGGGTTGTGCCATGCAATGGTTTGCGACGTGTGGAGCCTGGCGCTGCGCTCAGCACCAAAATACGGTCGCCTCTGCACGGCAGGCACCCGCAGGAAGCGAATCGCCAGATCACAGCAGGGCATGGGCAGCGGTCGGCCAGCGTGGTGCCTCTCAAGAGGGTGCATGAACTGCCCTCCCTGATATCCCACACAAGGGTACAAGTCCCCCTTCCCAGCACCCCCCCTTCCCCCATCCCCACGCACTCGTGGATAGGTGCCGTGGCCGTGCAGGGCGACGTAGGCGAGGATGCGGCCGTCGCCGGGCCGGCGCGGCACATCCCGCGCCGGCACCCACTCCCCGTCCCGGCTGCGGTGGGCGTTGTACCAGACGCCCAGCAGCTGGCCGGAGGGGCAGCGGCAGCGCACGGTGAGGTGCTCCCAGTCGCCGTCGTGCGCGCCGCAGCCCAGCAGGTAGGGGCCGTTGTAGGGGAAGAGCGTGACGTAGCTCAGCTCCAGCACCTCGGGCGCGCGCGTTGCGGGACAGGTCTGCACCACTTTGGGCACCACGTAGAAGGGGACGCGTGGGAGCCAGCTGGAAGCCGGGCCAGGACGCGCTGCGGGGTCCAGGGACAGCAGGAGCGGGGCATCGGGGGGCTGGCCGCGCTGGCGCTCCAGCAGCGCCCAGCCGTCCAGCTCGCCGTGGCGCGACAGCGGCACCGCGTCCGCCTCGTGCCCAACCCGCCCCGCCAGCAGCGCGCTGTGCTCCAGGAAGTACTCCGCGCTGCTGGGGAGGAAAGGGTCGCGCGGGTGCAGGTGCAGCACGGGGCAGTGCAGGGCCACAAGGGCCTTGAGCAGGCCCAGGTCCACCTCGGTGGCGTGGGTCATGTGAGGGATAGTCTCGGATGTGGGGATGTGACGGAGCGGCCACGTCCCGAGTAATAGCAGGATGTGGGGAAAGGTGGCTGGGACGCCGAGCGCAATGACTCTCAGGCTAGGACTCAGCTTTCTCGCCTTTGGATTTAGCCCCCGGGCCAGAGAACTGGGTGTTCAGCCACTGGACTGGGCCTGTGACCTCGTTTTTGCCCTGGGGTGTGGAGGGGTGGGGGGAGGTGAGGGGCCCTGGAGCACTCAGTCCATGCGCCTCAGACCCCGATCGCCAGCAGGCTGCGACTTGTGACAACCGGGAACCAGAATCCTTCAGATACAGCCACTCACTCGCTTGGTGGTGTAGCACTGCCAGAAGGCCTGGTTCTCCGGCACGCAGCACCCGACGAAGGATTCCCACAGGGAGCACTGACGGAAGCAAGTGACCAGCCTGTCTGCGAGGGAGAGTGGTGGTAGCGATGGTCATCGCGGAACTTTGAATTTTGTTGCGACGTGCATGCCAACAAAAGTTGCGCACGAAACCCCTGGCTCACAGTGCTCGGCAGCGCAGGCCTCTAGGGCCTCCTCCTTGCTGACGGACTGTCGAGGATCCGATCCGGGGATCTCCATGCCCCTTCCCTCCATCCGACGGCAAGATGGTACGGTGGGCCAACACGGGAGGAGCCATGCGAAGCTGATGTGGAGCTTCGCCCCAGTATGAATCATAGAGCGTACAATGGGGAGCCCCGGGGCTCTCATGCTGCGCGCGCGGTCGCCGGAAGGAATTCAATCGACATGGGGACAGGCCCCGGCCCCAGACCCCTTCACCACCTCTAGCCGATGCCTCCTGTAATGGCATAGACGCCTTGATATCGACCATCTCCACCCTGATAATGCAGTGAGAGTGGTCGCAGGGGATTTTCCCTGCACGCTCCCAGGCGTGGATGGCCCCCCAAGGCCACGAGTTCCTCGACTTTTTCGAGCAGCTGCAAGCCAAGGTTTGGAACTCTGGCCCATCCCCTTCAGATGAATCCTCCAGAGCTGCAATATCGCGCAGGACAGACTCTGGTGAGGGGGAGCAGGCGTGTCTGGGAGGGCTTGGAGGGCTGTGGAACCTTGGCACGAGTGCGGCGCTCCCGGATCTCATGGGGAGCAGCGGGCTGGATGCCTTCTTCTTCGTGCATGGGTACCCCAGTCTATGTACACGGTGTCCTCGCTCATGAGGCCGCCTGCCCAGCAAACACTCCTCGCCCATCATTACACCCCTTGTGATAAGGACCCCACCCGCAGCCCTCCATCCCCTGGATCGTTGTCACCCCAGAACGGTTTCCCCTGCCTCCCTGCAGTTCAACCCCCCGCCCTAACAGACTCCGGGTCAAATGACACCACGGGCCTGGACCTCAGCGAGCTGCTGGAGGCCCAGCGCCGCATCGGCCCCTGCCTCGCCGAGCTGCGCGCCCAGCAGCGCAACGCGCCGCCCGCCCAGCGCGAGTCCTACTCCCTGGAGCACGTCCGGCGCCTATACATGTTCCGCCCACGCCGGCCCTACACCCGCGCGCGCGACACGCGCCTCTGCGCGCGGCACCACCCCCAGCCCTGCGCGGCGGGGTGCCGGACCTGCCACTTCTGCCGGCAGCGCCTGGTGGAGCCCAAGACCGCCTGCGCGGCCTGCGAGGGGCGGAACAACTACTACGGCGGGCCGGGGCGCGGGTACTGGTGCGGCTCCTGCCTCTGGTTGCGCATGGGGGAGAATCTGGACGAGGTCCGGAGCAACCCGGCCTGGCTCTGCCCCGCCTGTCGCGACATCTGCAACTGCTCCGGCGCCAACTGCCAGCGCCTGAAGCGCGGCTGGTTCGCCACCAACCAGCTCGCGCATGAGGCCGCCGCGCAGCACTACGCCTCTGTGGCGCACTACCTCATCCTGACGCACGTCGGGGCGCAGGTGGCCGCCGCGCCCATGGGGGGCGGCGGGACGGGACGCGGAGCGCCGCCGCGCGCGCCCGCTGTCGCCCCGCTGCCGGCGGGGGAGGGCGCCGGGCTCCCCGCCCCGCCCAAGCGCCAGAGGCTGCTGGCCATGGCGCCAAGCCGGCGCCAGGTGCTGCAGGCCGCGTCGGCGGGGCGCCTCGTGGCCGCGCAGGCGGCCGTGGCGCGAGAGCTGGACGCCCCCTCGGCGCTGGGGGGGGAGGGGCCGGGGGAAGCGCAGCAGGCCCGGGGGGGGAGCACTTTCTTGGGCCTACTGGACGCTGAGCTAGCAGAGGAGGAGGATGTTTCGACTGGTGGTGAGTTGATTTTTACGTCGTGAGTTCTCCAAGGGGGGGTATGACTGGGGTTGAAGTAGGTCTCTGGTATATGTTTAAAGCATGTAGGAACAGCAATGTGACAGAGATACCCAGCTCTCCCTTGCGAGCGCCACCCGATCCTAGGAAGATCAGGCCTTGGCCCCCATCCCAACACCTTTCGATTCTCCTCCGCCCTGGCAGGCTCCACGCCGAGCCGGACGATGCAGACGACCCTGCACAGCATATGGCCTGGCGGCCGGACCCCGGTCGCAGCCGATGCGGTGGAATCCGTGCACGCCCTGGACTGGCGAGACCCAGCGCCCCGACGCCGCGCGACCCCCGACGCCGCGCCGCCCGGCCCGGGACCGGCGCCGCTGGGCATCGACTGGCCCCCCGCAGCGGGCCCTCATATCTCGCATGGGGCGCGGTCAGCGGGCCCCTTCCCCCTACCACCAGCGTCTGAGGTGCTGGACAGGGCCGGCACTGTGTGGCGGCGCGAGGGGCAAGCGCCCCAGTGGCCCGCAGAGGGGGCCGATTCCAGACACGCGGCGAGAAGAGGGCCGCTTGCCGCGCCCGGCGTTCCCGACGGCCCGCATGGCGGCCTGCCCGGCGCGTCTGGCGCACCGCAGTCCCATCCCTCTAGGAGGGCTCACCTGGGTGACATTGCAGCGCCCGCCCGCCACGGGTACGTCCGGGCCGGAGTTCCCTCCAGGGAGGCCTCTGTCGCTCCTGGCTTTGGACTCCCCGAGCAGGAGCACGAATGGCAGGGTGGGGGGCCGGCGTCCCCTGCGCCGGCGCATGAGACTGGCATCTCAACAGTGCCGCACCCCGCCGCGAGTGGCGTATGTGAGGGAGGGCCCCGCACGACGCTCGCCCGCCGCGCCTCGTCAGCTTTCCTTGCGTCAGCGACGCCCCCTGCCAGCCTGGCGAGCACGGCGGCGGGGGCGGGGCCCTGCGCTCCGCCCGGGCCCGAGCCCCGATTTGAAGATGCGGCGCGCTGGAACGAGCTGTGCGTCGCGGCGGAGCTGGCGGTGGCTGCGGTGCAGGACATGTACCGCTTCCACCCAGACTCCCCGGCCTGCGAGGGGCGCGTGCCCGGCGTGTCCGATGCACAGGCCAGGTCCACGTATGCGCGCATGGTGGGTGCTGTGTGGGCTGCGGTGGTGCCCAGAACGCCTGCGCCGGGGTTGGTCAGGACGCAGCAACACCCGCATGGGCCCTGGCTTGCCACTGTGCTGTGACCCTGACCTGTGGAAAGGGCCTGACATGCTCCGTTCTGCCGCACACCACAGCACGAGGCTTGTGTGGCAAGGCTGGAATCGCTGCTGGACACCACGGCCGGCATGCTGCGGGAACCTGTCGCGTGTTGCGAGGGTGCTGGCAGGCCTGGCAATCCCAAGCTGTACAGTCATGCAGGGCTGAGGAGGTGGGTGCGCAGCTGTTTGTGGGATAAGGGGTGGCATGAATTTGTTACATCCATCTGTCTGCTTGTCAGTAGATCCCTGTGCGGATAGGAGAGACATCAGTAGGCTGTAATTATGAGGTGGAGCAAATCTGGTGCCATGGACCCCTGCCACGATGCTGCATGCAATGCTTTCTCACCTGCAGATACGACAATCCAGTGCCTGGAATCAATCTCACCCTCCCATTGCCCGACCCCTGAACAGAGCCGTGTCGCTGCTCAATTTTCTTGCCTACCTCCTACCACCAGACATGGTGCTCACCAGGGTCCAGCCCTTGCTCCTGCCCAATGAGGTGATTGGGATGATCAGGCAGCATCCGGCGTGCAGGGGTGGATAGACACATCTTGAGGTGCATGTGCCTTGAATCTCTGGGGTCCCCGCGCCTGACAATAGTAGTTTTGAGCACCCACTGGCCGCCCTCGGCCAGCACACTGCCACGCTCCGCTCTCTTCTCCATCCAGGCTGGCCCCTTCTGCTTCCCTCGGTGTGACGCGCGGGCGCGCATCATCCTGCTACGAGGCTGCATCGACCTCCTCCGCACTCTGCACTGGCGGCAGCTGTCCTTGGATGGTGTGGTCGCCACCCTGGCCGACCTGCGTGCGTGCTCGACATGGGGTTGTGTCTGTTCTTGTGGGGCAGGGTTTGAGAATGAGGGCCTTGCCTGTGACGCGTAACGAAACATGCCAACTGGTGCAAGGAATCGCCATCTCAACACCCGATTCAACCCTAACCCCGTGCATATTCAATGGCTGGCGCAGTTGCAAACCTGGTGGAGGACCTCTCCATGGCGCTCCCCTTGCTGGAAGGGATGCTGGACGTGAGTGAATGGAAGATGTGCACAGCGCCTGGAGGGCCATGTCATGTTGCAGCGGCCTCCAGCCCATCGCTTTGCTGAGATCCCTGTCCTCCTGGCGGCCACCACTCGGTGCTGAACCATGGATCTCCTCCACACAATCTCAATTCGCCGCAGAGCGAAAGCCTGCCTCTGGGCGACGTGCGCATAGGACCCTGGGTGCCCAATCTGCAGGCCTCACAGGTGGAGCAGTTTGCTCAGCTCAGCACACTCTTCGCGGTGGGTGTGGGTCCGAGGCCTGGCAGGAGCGTCGAGGCTGTACGGCTGTCTTTGCCTGCGGGACTTGGCATATACGTGTGTGCGCTCGGACACTGAAGCTGGGCCCTCCTGCTGGGCGTCCCTTGCTCATCCACTCTTCCCCTCTTTCCCCCCTTCCTCCCGCAGACGACGCAGCAGGTTGCACAGTACGGCCTGTCCAATGTGGCGGGGTTGGCGGCCTCACACATGGGCCTTGCGGCGGGGAGGCTGCTGAGCCCCAGGCTCCTGCAGGCCCTCCTTTCCTCCACCGCACGCCTGCATCGTGACACACGCCGAGAAGGATTGGCCCTGGTCTGCGAGGTGAGCGCATGGGAGGAGGTCCCAAGGTCGCGGATGAGTATGGGTTCTGTCGTGATGGGGGCTCGATGAATCACTTCGAGTGTACTCATTCATTTTCAATCTCCATGCCGCACGGCAAGCAGGCTGCCTCCCACTCCCCCCCCGACCGTCCCGCAGGCCCTGGACGCGACGCAGGTGGCAGTGTCGTCCGGGGCGCTGATGCAGCTGGGCGCTGCGGAGCGCAGCGTGGCGCAGGCGGCCCTGGAGGCCCTGTGCCAGGCCGTGAAGTCCGCAGCCCTGCCCTGCCTGGAGGCCATGGTGGCGGCAGACTACCCGCTGCGCCGCGCGCCCGGCCGCTCCGGCCCAGGCCGGCCGCCGGCCCCCGAGGCGGAGGAGGTGCCCGAGAGCGAGCGTGTGGGCGGCGAGAAGGTGCGGGGCTTGCGAAGCGCCGCAGCGGAGCAGTGGGAAAGGGACCGTACAGCACCGCAGTTTGCCACGCCAGACGTTTGGTGTCCCCAGCAGCCTGATCCGACCAGTCCCCCGCATCACTCCTTTGCTCGTGCCTGCGCTGGCACATGCAGGTGGAGGCGCTGGCGAGGTGCCTGGCCTTCCTGCTGGATCAGCGGCGCCTTTCCTGGGATGCGGTGGAGAGGCTGGCAACCTCCCCCCACCACCCCGACGCCTTCTGGCGGGTGGCCAACCGCACGTACCGCCAGCTGGCCTGCTTCCTGCTGGCCCAGACCCTGCAGCACGCGCCGCTGTCCCTGACCTCCCCGGGGTCGATCGCGGGCATGCTGCGCATCTGGCTCCAGGCCCAGTTCGAGGGCGCAGGTCGGCTGGGGCCCTGGTACACCACCGCGGTCCTGGCCGGCGCCGCCGGCACTCGTCCATTCTTCCTGGACGTGCGCGAGGAGGACGTGGCGGCGCTGCAGTCCAGTGTAGACCCCGAGGCCAGGGCCGCCCTGGTTGCGGGGGTGGTTCGCCGCGTGGCCCTGGAAGCCAGGGCGCAGCTGGGGCCCGCGCTGTGTGACCTGGATGCGGTGAGCTGGGAAGGGAAGGCAGGGGGGCGGCCTTACTCACCATCACCCCTGATGCTGGACACAAATGAGGGGCCTGCCGCTGTGTGCATGAGGATGTTTGACCCCTTGAACATCTAGGACCCAGTGTTTGTATACATGCTCCGCCTCTGGAACTCAATTCTGCGCGCATGTCCCCCCCACACGACAGATGCTGGCCGCCCGGTGCCGAGAGGTGGGCGCCACGGCGTTCGACCCTGGGGTCGCCGCCCAGCGGTACGCCGGCCTGGCCTGGCCCCTGCTGCACGGCATCCTGGCAGAGCTGGCCGTGGCGGAAGGGTACTCGCGCCTGGACCCCGCCCTGTCGCACCTGCGGCACGCAGGGTCGGTCCGCTTGGCCTCCTGGGTCGCGGAGGCGGCGCTCTCTCTGGCCCGCGATGGAAGTGGACGGGGCGGTTCCAGCGGCGCCGCGGCAAACACCAGCCTGGAGGCGGTGGGCGTGCTGCGCCGGCGGGCACAGGCCACGGTCCTGCGCCATCTGCCCTCCCTCTGGTCCCTGATGCTGACCTGGCGGCCCCAGGCCACGCCGCTGCTGGAGGACCACGGTGTGCAGCAGCCCCTCTGGACCGTGGCGGCCGCCTTCCTAGAGCTGGGCAGCGGCGCTGAGCAGGCTTCGCCCTCGGACGCCGTGCTGGCAGAGACTCTGGCCCGCTCCCTGGCGGAGCCGGGGCCGGGGCTAGATTCGATCGCGCTGGGCGAGCTGCGCGGCGCGGTGGTGGCCGGCTTCTGCGCACGCGCTCTGGCGCGCGTGTCCATCCGCCACGTCAGCAATGAGCGCGTCGCCGTCGTCGCGCTGCGCCTGGTCCAGGTCATCTGGGTTCATGTTCAGGGATGGTTCACTTGTGGGGTGTGTGATCTGGCGGGGGAATGGTGCGGGCCTCATGCGGATGTCAGAGTGTGGGGTCCGCAACCTTTTGCGGCGGAAAGTGTCAACATGAGGGTGGTCTAAGGGTGGTCGGGGCCCTGTGTGTCGCAGCACCGTGCCACTGCACCATTCACACGCCTGGCTCCCTTATCCCACTCTCTGTCCGCCCTCACCTCATACCCCATGACCCCCCCCCAACCCAAAATACCATCTCACCTACCTTCCATCGCACGGCCCTGCCTCGACCCACGCCCAGCA